TTCCTGCTGGAGAAAACTGTCCAGATGCTGTGCATGACTTCACAGGATTTATGACACACTCAATCAAGGAAATCATGGGGGACTTCCCTAGTGGCACAGTGGTTAAGAATCCGCCTGCCAGTGAAGGGGACATGGGTTCGAGCCCTGGTCCGGGAAGATCCCACATGCCACGGAGCAACTAAGCCCACGTGCCACAACTACTGAGCCTGTGCTCTAGAGCCCGTGAGCCACAACTACTGAGCCCACATGGCACAACTACTGAAGCCCACACGCCTAGAGCCCGTGCTCCGCAAGAAGCTGCTGCCATGAGAAGCCCGCGCACCGCAGCTAGAGAAACCCCACGCACAGCAACAAAGACCCAACACAGCCAAAAATAAATCAAGGAAATCATGAAAGAGATTGTGGGTTTGGCAAATAAAGTGGGCGGGGGGGTGAACGGTTCCGAGATATGGGTCTGCAAGAAATTCAAGGACTGGGACTTCCCTAGTGGTCCGGTGGTTAGGACTCCGAGCTTCCACTACAAGGGGCCTGGGTTCGATCCCTGGTTGGGGAGCCAAGATTCCACAAGCCACGTGGCACAGTCTAAAAAAAAAAAAAATTCAAGGGCTACTAGGCAGCACACCGGAGGAGCCCACAGAAGACCACCTGATGGAGATAGATGAGGGCTTCTGAGCCAGAGGCGGACGATGAGACCGACGCAGAAGCAGCAGCGCCAGGAAACAAACTGACATCAGACAGCCTGGCAGAATGGTTCCAATGAGTCAAGACGACTTTTTTTTTTTTTTTTTTTTGCGATATGTGGGCCCCTCACTGTCGCGGCCCCTCCCATTGCCGGACGCGCAAGCTCAGCGCCCACGGCTCACGGGCCCAGCCGCTCCGCGGCACGCGGGACCCTCCCGGACCGGGGCACGAACCCGCATCCCCTGCATCGGCAGGCGGACTCCCAACCACTGCGCCACCAGGGAGGCCCAAGACGACTTTTGACTTGTTTTACAATATGGATCCTTCCATGATACGGGTACTGAGGCTAAAGCAAACGGTGGAAGGATTGGTAGTAGACAGAAACACTTTAGAGAAATGAGAAAGCAAAAAAGTCGGGCAGAGATCAATGTATTCCTGCCAAGTTCACCGAGTGCACCAGCCTCCCCTGCTTCCACGTCCCCACAGCTCTGCCGCCCGAGACAGCAAGACCTCCCCTCCGCTTCCTCCTCCCCAGTCTCAGCGTGAGGACCAGGGGGACGAAGACCTGTGACGACCCACCTCCACCTAATGAGCAGTAAACAATCATCATGCTGCGGTTAAGAGACCTCTCTGTTGTGTGCCTCAATGTGAACATCTAACAGCTGTACACCGTGTAAGACATATTGAAGTGGACAGTCCATCCTCACATAGGCATAAGCAGAGTGATACTAAGTATAAAATTAACAATGTGGTTTTGTTTTATAACTTTGCTTTCAAAGAATTAGGGACAGTCTCCCTCCCTCCCTGACTCGTAGTTGGAGAAACTGTGTAACAGTCTATCATCATAGGTTGTTTTTTTTTAATGTAACAATGTTCCCAACACTGTATTATGAATATGACTGCATTACTATATGCCATAAAAATTTTATGACGATCCATCCATTAGTGTATAGGCTATAGACTACCTGGAAGTGATCACCTCGATCACACTAGGCAACCATAAAGCAATCACGTTGCTGCTGCTTCGTTATCAATGCACATATCATTGTACCTGTAAATAAATGTGAATTTCTTTTTCACATTATCTTTTCATTATTGATGTCTAGTATTAGTTGTATGTGTAACATCTATAGCCTTTCGTATCGTCTAAGACAATAATGATGTAGGTAGTGACTATTCATCTTGGAAACAGATGACGAAAACTCATGCTGTTGATAAATGCAGTACAGTACTATAAATAATTTCTCTTTTTTATGATTTTTTTTTTTTTTTGGCCCACCGTGCAGCTTGCAGGATCTTAGTTACCCGATCGGGGATCAAACCCAGGCCCCCCGCAGTGGAAGCACAGAGTCCTAACTACTGGACCGCCAGGGAATTCCCTATGATTTTTTTAAGTTTTTTACTGAATTTGTAACAATATTGCTTGTTTTATGATTTTGGTTTTTTGGCTGTGAGGCATGTGGGATCTCAGCTCCCTGACCACGGATCGAGCCCGCACCCCCTGCACTGGAGGGCAAAGTCTTAACCCCTGGACCACCAGGGAAGTCCCCCTATGATTTTCTTAATTAACATTTTCTTTTCTGTAGCTTACATAATTGAAAGAATACAGCATCTGACATGTAACATAGAGGTATGTGTCATCGACCATTCCTGTTATGGGTAAATCTTCCACTCAACAGGAACTATTAGTAATTAAGCCTTGGCGGCGGGGTGGGGGGGGTCAAAGGTTATATGCGGATTTCCGACTGCGTGAGGGTCCGTGTCCCTTGACATGGGTCAAACGTACGTTGATGTCGTCGGGGTCAGGATTCTCACTGCGGGGACAGGACATGCAGACGTGGAATGAGGGAGGCAAACAGACGCCCACAGACATGGGGTGGAACTGGAGGTGTCAGCATGGTGCTGTGACCTCTCACACCTGTGCACGTGCATAAGCGTGTGCCCACGTGCAGGCGCACCTGTCCTCTTTCTCTCCGAAGAAAGGGCCTAGAAACATGGGCATCCTGATAGCAATGGACACACTGTGCACCCAGATATCGGTCTCTGAAACCAGTCCCTGCCAGAAGGAGCCCGGGCCCTCCAAACGGCCGACTCCAGGGTGGAGACAGAGAGGCCCGAGGAGCCTGGGTGGGACTCCTTGTGCCAGGAAGCAGGGAAGTGCTCAAAACCTTAACGACGGGGCACGCAGCCGGGACAGCACGGCTTCACAGGCCCCCCGGGTGAATCTGCAGTTTGAACACCAAGGCAACCGACAGGGCAGCTCATGGCCCATCAAGATCCGGCAGCAGTCCATGCATGCAGGCTGACGACCGGGGGGCCACATCTAAACACTGAGAACTGCCGATGACAGATAAGTAACAAACGCTCATGAGAAACAGGCAACGGGGAAAGGTGGGAGCCCGCCGAGTGGCGGG